TTTTTATAAGAGCATGCTACACTGATATGTGTTATCAATTATCTCCGCCTTAGTGCTATATAGCAAATGTTCGTTCAGTAGAATCCATTTTATGTTGTTAGCTTTAATATTAGTGTACATTTATCTATTAACAAATTTAAGGTAGCGTTATCTAACATCTATTACGTTTTATTAATATTATATTTTATGTGGTTTGTATTTGAAATGTACCAGCAATTTAGATTTTAAAATTGTTCATAGACCACTTTAAATAAAATATAAAAACCCATGAGGATCTATTAGTTGATATTCTATTTATAATTGATAATAGTAAATTCTTTATATAAAATTTAGAATTAAATTAATGTTTAAAATATTTTTAGAAGTTTATGAATAAATACTTTACAAAACTCTTTTCACTATTATTTTATAGATAAAATCTGAGTCAAGAGTTATGTTACTACTTATTTTTCCACACCTTTAACTAATAGTGTTAGAATATTGTTTTATTATAGTGATTACCCCAAATCAAGCTTTTTAAGCATTTATGATTGTATATAGCAAATACGTAACTGAACGAAGCACAACAAGAAAATTGGTTTAATAGACCTTTGGCTTCTGCGACTTCTTGCTTTTTTAAACATAATGCCAAAGCGTTTGTAACATTTCATATCGAATTAAAAAACAATAAGTACCTTTATATTTGGCAACCCATCTTGTATTCTGTATTGCGCTATGTAAAGGAACTTTTAATACACGTTCTCAACCATTTAGAACATCAGAAAATATGCCATAATGTTGTAAAGTTGAACTTGATTAAAACGCATAAATTACTTCCAGACTCTAGTAATCCCATAGTGTTGTCAACATCAGCTAAAACTAGATTAAGTCGATGTGCATAACAAATAACAATATATTTTATAAGGACATTTGTTTAAAGAGTAACTTTTACATGTTCCTCATTTGTAGAACTCAACCATACATCACTGACACGCCGTCGTAAGAATGACTTAAACATTATGTTATGTCTAAACCAACAGAGTATATTCGACAATCGAATCAGTAAGACTTTGTAGGTACATCTAATTTTATTAACTGTACAAATCCTAAAAATCCTTCTTTAATAATTGTTTTATGTACATAGCAGATACCTATTAGTTATTACCTAATAGGTACATATTGACATTTGTTCCAATGTTGAATAACCACGAGTTTCGTCAACAATCAAACTGTAGACCAAACACCTTTATTTACTTCTTAATAATAGTTTGTACAATAATATTTGAAGACATAAGTAAAACATCATTTTATACAACGTTAAACGTGTATTTTGCATTTTAAAATAAAGACTATAAAATTTTATCAACATTCTCATTTTTTAGGTATAGTAAATTAATTAATTCCTAAAAATTACCTTGATTGTTTTTGTTTGTATTGTGGTTTCTTAATCATGTTTGTTTAAAGAAGTATTTACGTTATAATGGTGATAGCGCTATTAACCATATCTTGCCGTGAGTAATACAAAACAGAATTAATTACACTAAATAGTACTTACCGAATATTAATTACGGTCTCTTCGACATGAACGACATAACAGTGACTACTAGAACTTTGAAAATAACGTTGTGTACCGCCAATTTTACGAAATAAATGATTGACTGAATTGGTTATTAATCACAATTTATAAACTTATATCGAGTACTTTTACATTAAAATAAGTCGAGTTATCATTTATTGAACATTTTTTTTTGTGGTTGATTTTCAATTTATATATTGTCATTTTAATTGCATATTATTTTTGTTAAATTAAGAACAAATTTAAAAAAACCGGTTTATCATTTTATCATAAATATCACATAAAACGCATAAAAACTATTAAAAACGAAAACGTTCGCCTAAGGTCTTTCTTGTCAACCATAACATAATAAAATAGCAACATTGTTAAATTATCTATACTCAGCAGCGGTGATCGCCAAATGCGAGAAACGACAGTCGTATTATTACTTTAGAAATGTCAAATATAAATTTATTTTTAATTTTTTTCATAAATGAGTGTTGACGATTCGCGAATGCACATTTTTCCTAAAAGCACTCGCGAATCGACATTTAATTTTAGAAACAATTACAATTCGCAAAATATGATCGATACATACAGGTACCTACACAAGACGTTAATATAGGTATTCACTTTTCACATTCAGATTTCAACAAAAAAAATAAAGGATAAATAAGCAAATTTTTCTTTTCTTATACAACCCACAGACACCTGTTGACTTTCTTTTTTATAAGCCTAGTATTACCACTCGTTTAGGTAGAAGGATGTTGAAAAGTCGTTAGAAATAGGGCAGAAAATTTGATACACAGTCATTCTACCATTTTATGTAATCATTAATGCAGTGGTCTCAAACATACGGCCTGCGAACCCCTTCTATGTGGCCCGCAATAAAAATACATTTTGAACAAAAATATGAAAATAGTGCAGCTCAAAAATAAAAATTATCAAATATTCAAGCTATTTTTAAATTTTAATTATAATTTTTTTTTTAAGTTAACGATCATTATATCTTTTCAATGATAATTTTGTAGTAATAAAAAGTAAATAAATGGATTTTGCATGTATTTTTGCCTTCATTTTGTCTTTAGTTTCTAGTGTATAAGTATAAAAGTGACACTTAAAATTTGGCCCGCGAATTTTTTTTGAAAAAATATATGGCCCGTAGGTAATTTGAGTTTGAGATCACTGCATTAATGTAATTTTCGAAAATTTTACAACCAAAGATCCTTAAAAACCGTTTTCTTAAAAAAAAAAACACACATTTCATGCGATATTAAATTAAGGAATAAGTTTTGAATATAAAAATTTCATATCCACCATTAGATGTGATGCCGGAAAGCTATGAGTCCTAAAAAAAAGTAAAATAAACAATTTTTTTTATGCAGCCCACAGCCACCTGTTGATTTTTTTTTTTTTTTTGTTAAAAATATAATATTGCCACTTTTTTATTTAACATTCAATTACATTATTAACTTGTTTTTTATAAATTATAACCATTCTATTTTACTAAGTTTGTCAAGCTGATAATTTTAATAAACATTTTAGATGATTTAAATTACTATTTAGCAAAATAACCATATTATGTGGTGACAAAACAAAAAAAATGAATTGAATGTTTGTAATAAAAAGCCACCCAATAGTGACAATTGACAAAAAACTTAGGAAAATGATGATTTTGTTTAAATGTATTTTATCTATATTGCACATGAGCCAAGGTGAATACAAACAATGCATCGACGTCAACTTAAATTTAATTTAAAAAAAAAAAATAATTAATTTAAATTATGATCATGTTTTTATACTAATAATATTATTATTAAAATATAATATTATGTTATATCAATAATTTATAATCATATATTATTAAATTATTATGCATACTCAAATGTTAATTTATAAATTATAAAATATCATTGTACTCCTATGAAATATTTATATTTATTTTCAAAACACTTATACTACTCAAAAAAGTAAATCAAACAAATACAAATAAAAGATATGAAGTAGTGTTATTGTAAGACCAATTGTTTTCCTTATAATTAGCTGCTTAAAACTATAATAAAATTAATATTTGAAGACTGCTACAAACATTTTGTAATACTTAGATTAACATTAAATATAATGAATTAATACAAATCGTCACTCAATTTACTATATATTATAATAAACATTTTATAATGTTTTTATTTACATAAAAATTAGAAAAAATATAAAATGGTATAGAACTCTTTAAAAAAATTATAGAACAATTCACTTCAATAAATTAATACTAATATTTTAGAGATTTCAACCATAAATTAATAGTTTGAGCTGGTTGAATAACCTTAATTATGACACAATAGTAGATTCTTTTCTTCTTTTAATAATAAAAAAAATTAATAATTAATTATTTATAAACTGCTTATAAATTTATAGCTTTTATAAAAATAAGATCATTAATTATTCTATTAAATTAAAAAAGGAAAATACAATTAATACTTAATAAATATTTTAATTTAATATTTAAGTTTTCAATAAAAAAGGGATGGGCAACTGGTGGCCAACGGTACCGTTTTTATCTGAACATTACACTATTGAATTACTAGTATAACATTTTAATATTTATCTGTATTTTGTTTTATTACATTTTTAACATTAAAATGTATCTAAATATAAATAAACATAAAAAGTAAATGTTGATTGTTAATTTTAAATTATATTGACCTTATATTTTTATTTTTGATTTATATACTCTCTAGACCTTTAATTTAAATTTTTAAATTTTTAAAATTAGTCTTTTAATAACTTTAAGTTGTCCATCCCAGTTATAAAGGTACCTACTTTAAATTATAAATATCAATAAAATTATTTATTTGCATTTTGATGTGCATCTTCTCGTGCATCAAAATCATTCAAATCTTCATCATCTTCTACAAAAAAAAAAAAAAATGTTATGTATATAAATGTGATAATTTTTATACTTCATTAAATAGATAAGTATATTAAATATTCCAACTAACTTAATTATATTTATTACATACTTTATGAAATATTTTGATAAAACCTATTTAAATATTAATTTAGAAATGTATTATACCTACAATTATTAATCAGAACAATATATGGTCAACTATATGGTATAATTAAATTACTGTCCTCAATTCAATATTAATTGATAAATAATATATTTTTGAAAGCCGTTCAAAATTAGAAATGAAAATTGCATTAAAAAAAAAAAAAAAAATGATAACTCACTCTACAAACAGACTAAAATATACTACACATATTCACATTATACAGAATGATTAAAATATAATATGTCTTCGAACTGACATATAAATTAAATTTAGTTGACAAATCACATATTGTTCCCATTCTTATTTCTTTTTTAATAAAAAAAAGCATAGCATACTGTCAATCTCACCATCTTCTTTGAAATGTTCTTGTTCGTATTCATATTTATAGGAATTATTTTTTTGTTTTGATAATTTTTCTTCTTCATTACTAAAATGTAATTTCATTAAAAAAATTAATAAAATAAAAATTATTTTGTTTTAAATTTCCTATACTTATTTAATGGATCTTTTTTAACAGTCTCTTCTTGAGGTGGAGCAGGCATAACTTTCATGGATTCATTTCCACCAACTTGAGATTCCTAATACAAACAAAATAGTAAATACACTCAAATATTAACTAATTATAATGAAATATTTATTGACAATATTTAAGATGTGATGACAGCTACTAATTAAGAAGTAAAAATTAATACAATCAGGGAGCAAATTTTCCTACCTTAAATAGGGAGTTTTTCTGTTAGACTAGGACAATAGCAATTAAACGATTCTCAGGTGTTATTATTTTATCATATCTTGAAATCTTAAATATTATCCATTATCAGTATTGGATGATTTTTTTTCAAACAACACTCATTATTTTAAAATTAAGCAATATTTTCAAAATTTGTTTTACTTTGTTTTTATTGAAAATAAGTCAAAACAATTTATTTTTTAAAAATAATATTGTCAAAAATATTAATAGATTTTGAAATAATGGGTGTTTTTTAACAAAAGAATCATTCAGTATACTCTAAGTTATAAAATTGACAAATTATTGTACATTTTTAAATATAAAAATTATTTTTATGAGATTATTTTAAGTAGTTAACATACTTAAAGCACATATACATTATTAAAAAAATAAATATCTAAATATCAAGATTTTTTTTTAAACATCTTAGACCAGTAGTTCTCAACCGGGGTGACATGTCACCTTAGGATGACACGGACCTAACTTAGGGGTGACGCAAAATTTTAACAAGAAAAAAAATAAAAATTAATTTTTTCGAAAACAATCATATTACCTATTTCTTATAATAAATATATTATACACCTATACCACCACTGTCATGTACATAACATACCTCAAAGTTCGTATCTTTATAATAGTTTGTATTATTTATATTTAATCTTTTGGTCCAATAAACGCGTGTACCTAGTAATTTGTCGTGCAATACACAGCTAAGATTGTTTATTATTTTGATGTTTGGGTGACGCAGTATTTGATTCTAGTGACTGAAGGTGACATGAATCAAAAAAGGTTGAGAACTACTGTCTTAGACAGTTGAATTCCAACTGACACCATCCCATGAATTATGATTGATGATAAGACTGGTTAATAAATTATTAATAATGATTAAAATAATGTTAATACCACGACTTCGCATGAATTCTGAATAGCTATTAGAATAGAACTTGAGTTACATACTTGTTTTATTTATAACTACCATGCTGATTATATAAAAATTGAATTCCTAATCTGAGTCAGTTTAAGATGACCAATTACATATTATGGGTATAGTTTAAACAACTTTTATAAGCGCGCCTAAAAATTGCTACTATTATATAGAGCAATCAAAAACGATCATGCACAGAACTATTTATAACTTTTCTGCACTAAGTTGATTTTTTTTAACTTACCCATTAATGCAATTTATCATAATTATATCAGTAATTGATATAATATAGAATGAGAGAATTTTGATAAGTTCTAACCAACTTAATATTTTTTTTAACATTATTTATATAAATTAATTTATATTTTTAAAAAGATCAGATTTTTGATTTTGTTTAAAATATTGTTGAAAAATCTCCTCAAATTGATTAAAAAAAAAGTTAATAATATAATTTGAAATTTAAATATTAAAGTATGGAAAATAACAGGTTATAGATTGAAAATTCTGTTTAATATATTTTCTTGATAAAAAAAAAAATCAATAAATTAAATGAATCTATAAGCAGAATAATAATTTTTATAAAGTATATTTTTTGATCTTAACATTAACACTAGGCATCTAAAATCAATTACACACTAGTGTATAGTAAACTTACTTGAGTTGAAACAGATTCATTTTGTGAGGTCAAAGCATTATTGGGTACTTTATTAGAACTGATGTCTATAATAATAGGCTGATTAATTGGATTGGCTTCATCCTATGAAATATTTAAACAATATATAATATTAAATTTAAAACAATCAAATATAAAACCAAAATAAAATTTTAGATTAAATTACGTTTTCAATTGATAATGATTTGTTTGTAGAAATAACTATTGAACTTATCTAAAACAAATAAGAATGAGTGGTTAAATTAATGATATCAATCACATATAATTAGTATTATACCATTGGTGTTGAACTTTTAGCAGTAGCTCCATCAATTGCTTGTGGATTAATGGCCGGAGTTACAGAACCACTTTTTAACTAGAAAAAATTAAAAAGAATAATAATTTAATTATGATATAATATAATGATTAATTGTGATAAAATAACATACTTTGGTAACATTCATAATATCATTTGATTTCTGAATAAATTTTATATTTGAAAATTCATTTGATTTTTGCAAGTTATTATTTAGGTCATTTTCTAAGTTTTCTTTTCCACTCTTTAATTTAACTTTTTCATTCTTAAAATAAAAAATAAAAATAAATAAATTATAGTTTATTATATTGTCAAAGTTTATACAATATATTTACTAACCTTCAAATTTAGTATTTTGTCTTGTGCATCATTCAATTTTTGAGTAAGTTGTTTATTTTTATTTTTTTCTTCTAAGTATTTTAATTTCAATTTTTCCAATGCTTCTCTTAAATTTTTTTCTTCTTCCTTCAAATTATATCAAATAAATTAGATATAAGTGCATATACATATTATATATATATATATATATATATAATACCATTAAAACAATTTATATTTAAAAAAATTAAATTAAATTATTAAAAACTAAGTTTAATCAAGTTTAAAACAGTAAGTACAGAGTCCATGTCATTTGGTCCAGTAAATAATATCATATGATGTAATAAATGATATATAACAAAATAATAATAATCAATTAATATTTAAAACATAATAACATAAAAATTATTAATTGATTATTATTATTTTTACCAAACATTTTTGAACAATATATTTTTTGTACATAATATTTTTGCACCAAATTATAATGATCATAGACTATTTAATGACAGATATTATTTACAGATCTAATCACTAGATCAACAAGAGTATACATTAATTTAATGTTTATTTTTGACCAACATAGTTTTTAACACAATATTTTCCAAAATTGCTACTTGAACTTTACCAAGAAATTAAAATGATTTAGATATTAATAGATTTATAAGTTATAATCTAAAATAAAATCAACTAGTATTGTTTATAAATTATTAGCAATATGCATGTCTTTAAAAATAATATATAACATAACATAATTCATTTTATTAAACCAACAATTTAATTTCTATATGTAATTTATCATTAATTAAATCTTACTAAAAAAAAATCATATACCTACAATACATTTTAAACAAAGTTAGGTAAATTTTTTGCAATTGTAAAGTATCATTAAATTTTTTAATGTATGGAGATGCTTTTTAAAGCAAAAGAATGTATCAATATTAATCTTTGAGGGTAGTTACTGATAACAAAAAAATAATAATTTAATAAATATTAAGCACATGTTAAAACACATGTGTTTTTGACAAAAATTAATTCAACCTTATTACTAATAGAAAAATAAATTACTTATAATATTAATAAACATGTTAAATATATTATAAAATATACTAAGAAATAGAACCTACCTTTCTATTTAGAATTGTATATCATTAATTATGATTTTTTGATCTAAAATGTAATATGTACTTTTGTTACAATTACAGTGATTTCTAAATTATGAAATATGCATAACAAAAACAGTCAAAAGTACAAATTGAATTCTCCAATTTTTAAATTTAATCTTAAGGAGATGTCATAACTTAGGGAAAATAGATTCAGGTCCAATGTTTCATTTCCATATGAGAAATTTTTCAATATTCTAAATTATTTACCTTATCATTAATTATTAATATGGCAAAATTTTTAGCTGTAGTTATAAACTTTTTCCAAATAGGTATTTGAAAGATAATAAAATAAGTTATTTAAATAATTCAAGAGACTGATTTGTCAAAAAAGTATTATGCTGATTTTTAAATTTCCTTTATCCAAGTATTACTATTTATCCAGTTAGCTATTATATAATGATGATTCACATCATTATAATAACTTATCAATAATTTATAATTAGTTATTAAAAAAAAAAAAAAAATTAAAATTGATTAGCAATAAAGTACTCTTGCATAAAAATACAATTGAAATGCAATCATATAAAATAGTACACTTTGTAAGTTATAGTAAACTGATCATTGTTAAAATAATACAACTAATTTGATATTTTATAATTAATAGATAGTATTTTTTTTTTCATTGTAAACAATACCTAATAAACAGTAAGCACCTAACGTTAATGCATACATTTTTTAATTGTGTAAACATTGAAGTATAAGATAATAAAATAATAATACAAGTTATTAACCTATAATTTATGATCAAAACTAAATTGTTTTGTACTGACAATATTTTTGATAATTTTTACACATATTGCAAAAATATATTATTTTACCTGTAATACTTCATGATTTCGTTCTATCTCATTATATCGATTCATAGAGTCAACATTTTGTTTATCACGTAACTGTTTCTCATCTTGAATTGCAGCATTAAGTTCCTCTTTGGTTTTTAGATGTTCATGTTTTTCTTCTTCTAATGACCTCTCCAATTTAAGCTTATGTTCAACGATAACTGTGAAATTATGATATATATATATATATAGCTGATAAATAAATTGGTTAGATGCAGTATTTATGACCACTAATAATACCTTGTAATTGAGATGATATTGACTCTAACTGATGTGTACACGAGGAAGCTGAATGACGAACATCAATTAATTCTACTTGTGTTTCATGAAATATGTACAGTACGGCTGACAAGACCAAAACCATGCAAATGAATCCAATAAACCTCGTTTTGCCTCCTCTGGCCACCATATTGGAAACAAATTCGTCGCTAGAAAATTAAAATTACAGTTTAAACTAAGAGAATAAAACAGCACTAATATCATAATATTGATCATTCTAGTTTCTCTATCTACCTTCAAAGTAACTTTATTTCTATATAGGTATTATAAGAATTTATAATTCAAATCGTCAATAAATATTTTGTATACAATAATATTATTATCTGTGATCCATATTCAAAGCAGTATGCACTACTCACAAATAAAAAAAATATTTGAAATTTAAATGAATCAAATTAATATTTGTTTTTCGAGATGAACGATTAACGAATACTGAATACTAAATAGAGTATTATGGTTTATTTTTTATCAGTACGTTGCCAAACGCCAAACGGTGTTCCACCAAGAATTTGATTAACCTGATGCAAATATGCAGAAGCAAAACCCAACAAATTATTACTAGATAGCGCCCCTTACAACGATAACCTTATCTATAATAACGAAGAAAGATAAAAAGAAAAATAAACAAATAATAATCGGTCACCAATATTATTATTATCGTATTGACAATAATTATTTATAAACTGCGATATGAAAACCAGTTTAGACTTATCTAGACTTAACCAGTCGCGTAGGGTGGTAGTATGAACATTGTTCTCGAACACTGCCGCTATACTTAGCAGAGCAGCACATGACAACTGTAAAATTATGATTTTTTTTTTACTAAAAACATGCTTTACTACTTCCTATTTTCCTCAGCTCTCGTTAGTCGTAGGAAGATGATTTATACACCAAAATAAACTTGAAAAGTTCCTCTAGACTACCTCGTGTCATTTTTTTCTATTTTATATGATTTTTTAAAAATTTTGAAAATGTTGAAAATTTCAAATGCAAATATCTCCGGTTTGAAAAAAAAAATTCGAAAATCTGGCACGAGGTCGTCTAGAGGAACTTCTTAGGGTAATTTTGGTGTATAAATCATGTTTCTACGACAAACGAGAGCTGAGAAAAATGGGAAGTACGAAAGCATGTTTTTACGATAAAATTTCGCTACCAGAACGGCCTCTTAATCGTACCCTTACCAGTTGCCAGTTACTACTTACTACTGAAATACTGAATAGATTAAATTATTTTAGTTATTATAGAGATATAAATTTTAATTTATTCTGGGACTTTAAAATATAATGATAAAAAAATACCATTTATCCAGTGCTACAACTAAAATTCTTTAGGCCCCGAACATGATTAATTTTTGGGGCCCTAAGCAGTTAAGTCCTAAAACGTATGAACGTAATATTTTGTCACCATTATTTTAATGCCGATAAAGATTAATGCAGTATTTCCCATCGAGTAGGACAAACTATTTCTTAACAGTTAACACATTGATCGAAATTAATGTGCGTAGTACCTAACTATTTAGTGCCTACTATACATAAAACATGTGTTCTTTAAGAGCACATTATATTCTTTTAAAGGGGAGGGGAGCAATTTAAAAACTCTTAATTAGTAGCAAATATAAATAAAAAACTGTTTTTTTGTTTTAGTTTAACTAATTTTGCCCAATTTTTGCTATAATTTTATAAGAGATAGATAATGTTATAAAAATACTGAGTGTTTTATAGTATATCAGCACACTGTTATAATTTACTATTTTTGACCTTGAATGGCTAGGATATAGCAGATCCAATTTTATATTGTTATTTGTTAGTTTTATAATATCAAAATAAATATACATATTATCAAACTGAAACGTAAACATTTTAACTGGGTAATTCATTACTTTTTATAGATATTTTTATTTTAAAGTGAGCAATAAGCATTTTGAAATTGTAATATTTTACATAGTTGAATACAAAATTATATCTGCAGAACGCAAATTTGTTATGTTTGCATGAGTCAGAGAGACAAAACAAATAGTGTGCTGTCTACCGTTCCTAATTCCTATTAATAGATATGTTTAAATACGGTTCAAGAAAAATGAGTATTTTTTTTTTCAGTTTTAATATTTACTTGTTTTATTCAGAGAAAATATTCCAAATTATTTTTAATAGGTAATGACTGGTGTCATTTCATTGTTTAATAAGAATAAAATTGGGGAAGTTTTGACTAAGCCAATGTAACTGAAAAAATATCTCCCATTGCTCACAAGTTAATTTATACTTACATTTTTATCTCAATAGAATACGCTCATCTACCATCGAACTATATCAGAGGTTTTTTTAAGGATAGTCAAGTTAAGAATGGTTTTAAAAGTGGTTGTTTTATTTTTAGAATTTTTATTGTTGGTTGATACATACAATGTAGTACATAGTGCGTACTTACTAGGTATAAATAATATTATTACAAACCTTTGTAAGTACTATGTACCTACCAGGGTACTCGTATAATAATATCATTAATATTCATCTATTTTCGTTTGTCAAAAGTTAGAAAAACATAAATAAACAATAATAGCATTAATAATACGTAAAATATGTGAAACAAAAATGTTTCTTAACTCAACAAACACGCACTACGCATTTACGCACACACAACTTAGCTATTAATCGTTTATATATACACATATATTTTTATCCACAATTAGTTGAGCTTGCCAAGTATCTACACTAATAATCAATTAGGCAAGTAATTTGAGAATACATTATTACGTAATTAATAGTTAAATTAACAAAAAATTTATAAGTTGAGTTATAAATGGGCTATGATTGTTATTGGTATAATTCTTTTGACTTGTGTCACATTTACCAATAATCATCGGGAAGTGGCGGAAGTGCGCTATAATGTCATAGTGACCAATAATATATTATACAAGTAAACCGTTTCAACGACTTAGCAAGTATTAAGTATAAATATCCGTTAAGCTGTATGGCAATGCCAAATATTGGCCAAGTACCTAAACATTAGTCGTGGGAATGCTACTTTATTTCACACTTATCACCCACGAATCTATGTATTTCAAAATATAAATATAAATTATTATTGTGACAATAGTTTCTCGTATTCTCACAATTTTATATTTCTTAAAATTAAAAAAAAAATAGTCTTATTTTTTGATCAACAATTGGCCAATTGCCCATGATTTTTTACTTTTAGTGCACCTAGATGCCCTAGATGGCTAGATGAGCTGCTAAAGAATCACCCAGTAGGTACATTATATGATGAACATAATTATAACGAGTATGATCCTTAAGAGTATAAGGCACATAATATCCCTCTAATATTTCTAATATAAAATAGTGTAATAATCTGATATTGTTGAAATATAAATAATATAATAAAGTTAATAAATATATTTTTTAATTTTTATTTAAATACTTTAAATTATTATTTAAAAAATTACGATTAGCACGATTACCGTAATGTGATTTTATACATTTTATAATAATATTTACTAATTATTAATTAATGTATAACAATTTTAAGTTGTAACATGACAATATGATACGAATAATAATTATTTTAGTATCATAATATACATAATTTTATAGTTTTTTATCATGAGGGTTAAATATATGTATAGAGTGCGCTGCTATTATCATCCTGACCGATTAATATAAAGACACGTAGACATATTATATTTATACTTCACCTCTTCTCTAGATCAATTCAGTTTTTGACAGAGTGAACCATGAAATGCTCATAATATATAAGTTAGAAAAATATGGTCTAAATGGTAATTTTCTTAGTTAGTTAACTTCCTGTCTAACGGATAGATGTCAATTTGTTAATTTTTCATATTCCCCACCAACATTTTTTCCAATAAATTCTAATATACCCCAGGACTCAATACCTAGATCTTTTATTGTTTAACTTGTACATAAATGATGTCATCTATTTTTAATTCTTCAGTTAATATATTAATGTTTTGCCAATGATTTTAAATTGTATTAAATTATAAAAAATCAAGATGACGCAATTCATTTTCAAGCAAATCTAGATACGAGTACATTTAGTTTGTAGTATCACCAAAACTTATATTACCAGTAGTTATTAACAAATACAATGGCTTATATTTCGATAAAAATAACTATCCTATAATTTTTAATCATAAAACTAATAACATCGTAAGTAATTAAGTATTATTAATCGAATTGAATCATTTAAAGATTTGGATATTATTCTCTTTACCACAGTAATTTATCTTTCACTATTAATACTAATATATTTATAATTAAAGCATTTGAAATGCTTAATATTATATTAAGGAATACTAAGAAATTTAAAAACGTCAATACACTAATAATACTATATTTTTCTCTTGTTAGACCTAATACAGAGCTTATATCATTAATACGGGGTCAACATTCAACTAGTAAACTGGTTGACAATTAATCAGTATAAATTCTTAAAGTCAATTAATTTACGTTTAAAATTACCTATTCTCAGTGACTTATTTTCATTAATCCAAATACCTACTATATTTTTATAATTCTTCCATGGGTAATTAAACGTAAATTATCTGAATTTTTATTTATTAATTATCTTCTTAATAATAATATTGAATATTTTCATTTATTAAGTAGTAATAGTAAGATTGGTATTTATTCTCATAATTATTCAATTATTAGGATTTTTATTTATTTTATAGTTCCTTTCTATATAAAAAAAAAAAAAAAACAAAATATTTACTGACTCACCCCCTCCCCTACAAAAGCGTTTTTGTTGTATAATTCAATTTTTATTAATTCGATTGTTTTTTTTTTTATGTTCCACAATTTTTTTATAGTAAAAGCTTTACTTATTTATGTTTTTAAACAGAATTTAATTATTTATAAATGTTCAGTTTATTATGTTTAAGCACCTATTTAATATATATACTAAATATATGTATATTTTGGCTGTTTTGTATTACTATTTTATAGTAAGTAAAATTTTTGCCTCGTATAATAAATATAAAATTAAAATTGTAAATTAAATAATATATTTATATTCCAATCCTTCACGATCAATCCTACAGAATAATGCAATAATTTATAATAACTTTTATTAGCATTAAGATTGTTATAATATATTAATATCTAACTATGATTGTAAACAATTTTCTTTTAATCGTGATCTGAACTGTTAGATCATTTTAAGCAGAAATTAATTGATTTTACCAATTTTTGCAATTGTAAAAAAAAAAATTCTAACAAGTGATTTTAGTAATTGGTATGTTATATTTATATAATCAGTGCGATTTAAATAGCAAATAGAGGTATATATTCTACAAATCAAATTAAGATTCATGCAAATATCACTACTTATAACTTAAAATATTTATAGCATTATGAATGCATTTTGGCTATTTAAGAAAATATACTATTATTTTCTATTAACGCATTATTTACTTAATTCAAATGTTCAACCAATCGTTGAT